TCAACCTGTCCTCGGAGGAGCTCCGATCTGAGAGAGAGGCAAACCATCCATTCATTTATTGATTGATATATTAAAACAAGCAAAACCTTTTGCTGAGCCCTGACTGGGCCAGGCCCTGTGCTCAGGGCTGTGCCTACCCCCAAGAGACTCCCAGTCTGGCCAGCAGCCGGTGGAAACCACTAACAGCATGGTGAGTCCCCAGGGCTGTGGGGCACCAAGGCAAGTGTGCAGTCCTTTGCTTTTTCTTTGTTGTAGATGACAACGAGTGAATGAATGAATTTTTCTTTTTCTTTTTTTCTGTTTTAGGGAACTTGTGAGGTTTTAACCATGAATGGACTCTCTAAATCAAGGCACCCAATTAATGACTGATCAATTAATTGATTGAAACATCACCCAGGAAGTTGCTAGCAGAGAAAGGGCTATATTCTGGTCTCCACCACAGTGGACTTTCTCAATGAGGAGCAAATCTACTCTGACCAGGGCTGGCTGGAGTGGACCCTGCAGCTCCTGGCTGCAGAGCCTCCTGTAAACTCCCGGTAAAAGGCAGCAGTTCTGGCCTGCCTCCCAAGAGGGTCATAAGCATTCATTAGTTACCATTGGTAAAGTGCTCTGAAGATGTGGGGATGTTTAAACACGGCGAGTCATTAGGCCTCTCCACACCACTATGCTCTACAGCCGGCAACTGCTAATTGAGAAATAATTAACGCCTGAGGGTGCAGAGGATGGATGCCTGGCTTTTCCAGGATTGGGAAGGATGTAATAAAGTACACGAGCAGCAGGAAGAAATATAAGGCTACTTTGGATCCCAAAATATACTGGAGATTGTTCAACTTCTGCCCGCAGAGAAGCATGGGGACTGTTGCCCCAGTAAAACCTTTGGGACTGCATTCCTTGGGAAAGCCCCGAGCACAGTGCTGGGCTGCAGAGGCTGTGACGCTCTTAGAGCAAAAGAGCTCAGGTCCAGCCCAGGTCTGCCTGGCCTTTTGGCTGGTGAGCAGATGCCAGTTGTGGAACTCACCAAGCTGTATTTTCCTCAGCTGTTAAGACTGGGATGATGACATATGTCTACCATCCCCCCACCAGGCACCGGGTTGTCTGATGCCCTTCCTCTAGGTCAGCAGATCTAGCCCAGGCTTCACGTTAGGATCACTGGGGACTATAAAGTACCAGCATTGTGGGGCTGGGACTGGGGGCACAGGGTGATTCCCAGTTCAGTCAAAGTTGAGAACCACTGGTTTGGTTTGTGTATCAGGCACTGTGTTGGGAGCTGTGGGAAATAAAGTTGTAAACCCTACCACACCCCATGTTTCCCTCACACCAGCTCAGTATTTCCTGATTCTGTGCCTGTGAGTTGTCCTGGACATTTCACTCCACTCCCACTGCCATTCTTGTGTTGCTAAACCCCACTCATCCTTCAGGCTCAGCTTGAAGCTCACCTCCTCAGGGAAGCCATCCTTCCCTGTGCTGCCACAGGACACTGTTCTCAGCCCCCATTACACCACTGATCGCACAGTGTTTTTCCTGGCAGATCCTGGCAGGCTGAGAGCTTCTTGGGGCCAATAGCAGAATCACCAGTGTCTTGCACTGGGTCTGATAGATTTCAGGTGCTGAATAAACTATAGCTGCTATCAGTTAGGTAGAGTTATATGACATGCAGCTCTCGCTCAGGACATTTGCACTTCCCCCAGGTATCTGCAAGGTTCTCTCAACTCCTTCAGGTCTTTGCTAAAATGTCACCTTCTCCACCAGGCTTTCCCTGATCCTTCTATTTTAAATGGCAACCAGTCGACCTCCAACCCCTTCCCTTGCCTAATTAATTTTTCTCCATAGCATTTAACAACATCTGACTAACGGATCCTGTCATTATATAAAATTTTGATAACTTGTTCACGATGTCAGTTTTTGTATTTTTTTAAAAATTTAATTGCATTAAAATACCACTTATCTTGAGTTCTTTGGCCTTCCCTTAAATTTCATTGTATTGGATTATTGACTAGAATGTAATCTATACTGAATGCCCGGAACTTTGTTTATTTTGTTCACTATTCCCAGATTCTACAAGCGGTTGGTACGTGGTAGCTGCTCAAAAAATATTTTGTGAGTTTGATTTAGTGTCTTAAAGATTAAATAAAGGTGTCTTATTCCAATTGTTTAAATTTTTTAAAATTTATTTAAATTGATAGCCTGTAAAATCATAGGGTAGATTCGAAACCGCACGGCCTACTGTTGTCACGGTTACGCTATAGCCGGCGGTTCTCCTATTCAGAGAGTGGGGCGGGCCCTGGCAGTGGGCGGGAACACCAGACTCAAAACCTAGGCCCGAGGCCTTGATCATAGAGTTACACCTCCCTCAATCCTAGAGAGCACTTCCGGGACGGTGATTTACTTATTGCTGCGTAGGCCAACCTATGAGCCCATTCTTTCTCCTTGCCTAAGTTTCCGGCGAGCAATTCACTGGCGTCTAGAGTGGGGTGGGGCCAGTCCCCGTGAGCGCGGTTTTGTGATTGGCGGGAAGGACAGGAGGCGGGGCTTGGTGCAGGCACTCCCCTGGCGCAGGCGCGGTGGCCCGGCGCGGCGGTCCCTGCGGGGTCGGCGTTCGCTGGGAGTACGGTTGGTGATCGTGGGTGACAGTGAGGGCTGGGGGCTGAGGGACGGGCTGAGGGAGGGGCTGCGGAATGAAGAGAGGGCTCGGTTCTGGGCGCGGAGACCGAAGACCGTGGTGTCCGTTTTCCCACGTGCATCTCGTCATTGGATTGGGGCGGGGTCACCGTCACAAACTCTTGAATAATACTCGTCTCCTAGTCTGTTTCCTCCGTTGTGAAATCGCAGGACTTCCTTGTCTGCCTCGGGTCGTTGTGACTGGGAACTTGTTAGAAATACAGGTTCTCTGCCCACACCCCAGACTTATTGAATCAGAAACTCAGGGGATGAGGCCCCACCATCAGTGTTTTAACAAGCCCTCCAGGTGATTCTGATGCTTGCTTAAATTTCAGAACCACTGGGCTACCGTAATGTAGCAAGCTGTACTGAGGGCCTTCTCTACCCAAGCTGAGAAAGTAAGAGAAAGAAAGGAGGGGGTGGACTTGAGAGAAATCTTGGAGACAGACTCAGTTGCTTGAGGAGGAGTCAGGGGTGAAAGAGTTTCTGTCTTGGGCCACGGGCCTGAGGTGGGACCTTAAGTGATGGCTCCAGGTGTCAACCACGTGTGCCCTGCCTCCAGGCCTGCAGTTTTCCACGCAGTCACACTAGGGCTCTGTGGCCGTGCCTCCCAGCCGTTTTCAGGTCATAGGCCACATAGGAAATGATAATATTTGTACAGTGCCCAGGGGAAATGGATGAAGCTGCTTGAGGTTGGAGGAGACCGGTGGAGGATTGAGGCTGCTGAAAGCTGGAGGGAACCACCTGGGGGGGATTTGAGCTTCGCAGAGCTGAGGGGAATTAGTAACCTGTTCTCAGCATACTGCAGAAGAGCTTTGTACCATGGGATTTGCTGAAGATTAGGGGTGCTCACTAAATTTGGCAACATAAATCAAGAACCTTGAAAGAGTTTATACCCTTTGACTCAGTAATTCCGTTCCTGAAGATCTCTCCCAAATATATAACAAAAGAAAGCCTTCTGTTGTAGATTACATACAACAGAGAAAATTAACAACTCTCTGGAGAATCGTTTTTGATCTAGTCAGTCAATGAAATGTTGTACTGCCCTTAGGAATATGTGCATATTTTGTAAAATCATAAAGAAACCTACGTGCTCATTCATTAGACAATTGTCTAGTAAGCCCCTGCTCTGTGCTGAGTGGTGAGCGAGTTAGCTCCACAGAGCTGACTGCCTGGGGTAAGACCCAGCCGAAGGAGCAGTAACTCCAAAGAGTGATTGGTGTTTGATAGGGGATCAGGGGTTGCTGCAGGAGAAGCTGGTCTTTGGGGTATGGGGAGTGGGTCAGGAAAGGCATCCTAGAAGACAGGGTGGCACTCCTAAGGCCTGGAGGATGAGTAGATGTTGGTACGCAAAGGGGAGAGGAACATTCTACGCAAAGGGAACTGTGTTTTAATAATGAGTGTGCTGAAGCTGGAGCACAGAGAGGGCACTGGTGAGAGGAGGCCAGAGGGGACCAGCAGCTAGCTCACGTGGGGCCATGTGCACTGTGAAGGTCAGAAGCTTAGACCTGATTCTAAGGGTAACAGGAAGCTGTTGGAGGATTTTAAGCAAGAAAAGCTGTTGCTGTATGTGTCTTGGGAGTATCCCCTGTGGCTACAGCGTGGAGAATGAATTGGAGGAAGGTGGGCCTGGAAGCTGGGAGCCCAAGTGAAGAGGCTGTTGCAATAGCCCAGGTGAGAGATGATGGTGGCCTGGACCTGGGTGGAGGCTGTGGAGGTGGAGAGAAGGAACAGAATCAAAAGCAAGTAAAGCAGTAGGAATCACAGGGCCAGAGGGGTTGGTGAAGGTGGGGCACAGAGGGAGCTCAGAGTGGATGAACCTGCATTTCTGTTTTGGACAAAGGGTGGCTTGCACTACCATTCAGAGTAACAGGCAGCGCTGGACGGGGAGCAGGCTTAGGGGGAAGATGCCGAGCTCCCTGTGGGGTGCTGAGTGTGAAGTACTCATGCAGTGTGTTTTCTAGGAGGCAGTGGGATGGGTAGATGTGAAGCTTAAGAGGCACAACGTACAGAATGGAGATGTTGACTCGGAGCCATGACCATGTGGCCTGACCAGGGACTGTGTGCTGTGAAGCGGGAACAGACACTAAGGACATTGAAGGCATGGGTGGGGTGGGGGCTCGTGGGCAAAGACGGCTTGCAAAAGAGACAAGGGATCGTCAGTAGCGGTTGTCTCTGGGCTGAGATTATAGTTGATTTCCTTTCTTTTTTGTTTCTGTTTTTCTTAGCAAACTTCGATTCAGTTCATAGAATATACCAGATACTGTTCTGATAACTTATAACTCTTCTCTAAATTCCCACAATAAACCTATATGGTGGGTCCCTTCATTTTACAGGTGAAGAAACTGAGCACAGAGGAGTTGAGTCACATGTCCCAAGCTACACAGGGTGCAGTTATCGGGAAGATGGACTAGGATCCAAGCTGCCTATTGCAGATCCAATGCTGTCACCATGCATTGGTGTCTCCACAGTATGCTGTTGTATTTTTATAAACGGAAAAAAAAAAAAA